GGGGGTGCAATTCTGGAACCAGGCCTCGATAACAAGATTGTGGTCGCTCCGCTAGCTCAGGAGAATGCATTTTTGGAATCAAGCCTCAAGAACAAGATTGTCGGTGCCCCGCAATATGAAGGAGCTGTGGTTTTGAAACCAAGCCTCGAGAACAAGACTATGGGTGCCATGTCGAGGCCTAGTGAGAGATTTCTGTCATTTCAGTGGTTGGAGATGGATCGACTCCTTGATATTAGAAGATACAATCTTTTGTGATTAGAGAAATTTCTTCCATGACCTAAAATTTATTTATTGGTGTAGATGACATGGTCCTGGACATTAATTCGCTATTAGCGGGTGTCGGTCGAGTTCCCGTTCCAAGAATGTCTGAGGGAACACCAGCTCAGGTGTAGAGCAAGGGGAAAGGGAGCAACCTCTCGGTCAATCCCCACGAAGACCTTGAAAGGGGAGTCCACAGTCGGCGGAGGTCTCCTGCATCGTTTGCCCGCCACTTGGAGGAGAAGGATTCCTTTGCTCGGGAGGCTGGTCTCCAGTGGGAGGCAAAGATGAAGAAGCGTTGGGAAAAACTGGCGGCTTTAAGTCAGGGACACTCGACGGAGTTGATTGCTCTTCATGCAGAGCTGACCGAAGTTAGGCCAAACTGCTCAATTTTACAAGCCCAAGCCGAAGCCAAAGCCAAAGCTGACAGTATAGGTAGTAAGTTTAGGTTTGGGGGACGTGTGTTGTACTAAAAGCTGCTTCGACAGGGCTAGTCTCGATAGAAATGACAGAGGAACCACTTATAAAATATTTTTATTTGAATAAGGTCGTTTTGTTAATTTCCAAAAAGATGTTACTTCTACAATTATTTTTCTCTCGAATTATGTGTTAATGTAACTCACCTTTTCAAAATTGAGTTAATGATCTTTTGTCATGCTTCAGCTTCCCTGGTATATATAAGAGCTAAGAGTTGCATTTTTCTGCACATTTGGTTTCCTTTCTCTCTTCCCGTCAGTCGGTATTCTTTTTTCGCTCTTCTTGCCTTGCATGGCTAGCAAATACTCGCCCAAACACTTCGGGTTGCTCCTTGCGACCAAGAGATCCACTATGACTTCGAACAATGCTACATCACTCGAGGAGGCCTGCGTCTTTGATGATGACCCATTTGATCACCTTTGGTCCTGACGATCACATGACTGATGAATTCAGAAGGGATCTGATCTTTTATCGAGATCAATTTCAATGGGGTCTCCAACTGTTCTTTTGTAAGGAGTTTCGGCCAGTTCTGAATCACTACGGAGTGATACCTACCTAGATTAAGACCAACTCGATTGCGGCCATTATGGCTACATAATCTACTACAGGCAAAGGGAGATTCCTTAATCAATAGAACTCTTTTCATGAATGTTCTTGATTTGTGTGGAGTCGGATGGTTATGTGGTTTTTTGGTAAACCCGAAAGTTAAACATGGTCTGGCTTGAGAATAAAAACAAAGACTGGGAGTATTGTTATCTTTGGGTCAACCAAAAATTGGGGGATCCAAAATTCAAAGCCAAGCCTTGAGAGTGATGAATAAAGTTCTGAGTCCGGACAAGTTTGGGGCCATGACCGAGGAGTTATGGGCAGCTTCAGACGAAATAGAAGAGTGGCATATTGAGAGACTCTCTCAGCTTTCCCAGAAGAAGTCGCACAAGAACGCGGCCCAACTGAATGTTGTTGAGAAAGTGAGGGGGGAGGAGGTGGCCATCAACACCGACGCCGAGATCCCAAGTTCGGATTATACCAATTATGTTTTTGAAACTACTGTAGCAATTCAAAGGATCTCTACTGGGCAGTTGATTCTAATCAACTGAAAGCTTGCTTTGATGAGTATAGATTCTTACAAGGCCCATGACCAAGAGAGCGATAGAATTACAAGCTACCTGAGATATGATGCTAAGGAGCCCTCGGATGAATGGTCAGATCGGGAGTCAGTGACTCCACGACATGCAGTTACCATCAGCTTCATCGACCATGCTGCAAGAGGGGAGGCTAGCCAACCCACCCCTATGGTATCCATCAAATCTGAGCCAGTTGCTGCTATTGAGGAACACTTCGTAGGGAGGCCCGAGTTGAGCCAAAATGGTTGCTCGAGCTTACTACCACCAAGAAAGCCCGCCACAAGAATGGCAAGACCCTGACATACGAGTCGGACATTGTACTTCATTCATCCCCCGAAAAAAGACGAAAAAGGGGTTCTAGGCGGCTGAAGCCCAACGCAATAAGAGCCGACGAAGTTCTTCATGACCGAGGACTCCAACTTTGCCCTAATAAATATGTTATTGGACTGGTTCCCCAGTGGTCTGGGTGTTGATAGGTATGCATTGACAATATAGGGCGTCCTCTGGTCGGAAAGCTTTGAAAAAAATTTGAGCGACCACAGCCCTCGAAATCTCTAGCATATTGCCAACCAGTACCAGTTGTTGAAACTCATGGCCACACACCATCCGACTTCCTCATATCTCGATGCCAAAGAAGCAGCTTACAAGGCAAAGAAAAAGACCAGGATCGCCAAGGCCCGAGCGAAGGTGACTGAGGAACAAGCTGCCATAACAAAGGTGAAGCCAAGG